GATTATCTTAACCGGTCCCGGGCCTCCCCTAGGTTGACTCAGCCTCAAAAGAGTACCCGGTGCGGTGCGCGGTAAACATCGCCACCGGGTAGACAAAGGCGGCCGGGTGCGGTGCTGGCCACCCACCCCCTCGTGTGCCGGCCGTCATAGGCGCTGCTACTCGCTAAGGGCACTTGCCCCTACGGTGTGTGAAGGCTACACGGGGGATCTTTGTCTTTGTGTGTGCCGCTGCTGTAGGTGTCCCCGTCGTGGTACCGCGCCCCGGAGCTGCTGCTGCGGGTGACCTGCGGCCCGGCCGCCGACCTGTGGAGCGTCGGCTGCATCTTTGCTGAGATGTTTACACGCAGGTGCTCCTTGAGCACCGCCACCCGCACACCCACACACCTAGCAACCCACCCACCTAGCAACCCACCCACCTAGCAACCCACCCACCCACCTAGCAACCCACCCACCTAGCAACCCACCCACCCACCTAGCAACCCACCCACCTAGCAACCCACCCACCCACCTAGCAACCCACCCGCCCACCTAGCAACCCACCCACCCACCTAGCAACCCACCCACCCACCTAGCAACCCACCCGCCCACCTAGCAACCCACCCACCCACCTAGCAACCCACCCACCAAACCACACACCCAGCCACCCACACACCCACCCACCCACCAATCCACCCACCCAGCCACCCACCAACCCACACACCCACCCACCTATCAACCCACCAAACCACCCACCCACCCACCTATCAACCCACCCACCCACCAATCCACCAAACCACCCAGCCACCCACACACCCACCCACCTATCAACCCACCCACCAAACCACCCACCCACCCACCCACTCACTCACCACCCACCCACACACCCACCCACCCACACACCCACCCACCTATCAACCCACCCACCAATCCACAAAACCACCCACCCAGCCACACAGCCACCCACCTATCAATCCACCCACCCACCAAACCACCCACACAGCCACCCACCCACCTCTCCCGCACGCAATGTCACCACAGGCCTGGCAGGGTGGCGTCGCCATGGCGCCCGTGCCAGGATAGGTGCCCCCGTGGGTCCGACCGAACACCATGCCACCTCTCCCCCATTGAATTGGTGTTGTTGTTATTATGATGATGTGTCTTTCCGACAGACCTGTTCTTCTGAACACCACCAGGCTTGGCAGCGTATATTTAAGTATTTAAGTATATATTTAAATATATACGCTGACAAGCCTGGTGGTGCTCATTCAGACGCCGTCTTTCCGACAGACTTGCTCTTCACCCGAGGACGGCTGCTTGCGTTGTGGCCGAAACGTCGTGAGAATTGTATTTTATTGCGTTTTATTATTTTATGATTTCCCTTCTACGTGACTTTACCGAAAGAAGCAAAAAGGTTCTAAGCGACGTCGCATCAGGTGACCTCCTTGTCTCCCCTCAACGCAGGCCTCTCTTCCCCGGAGGCTCCGATGTCGATCAGCTGACGAAGATATTCGGGTGAGTAGCTCGTGGCGAGCGTGCCGTGGGGAGCGGCGCGGGGGCCAATAGACGCCATCTCATTTGTTAGCGGAGAGCAACGTGGGGTGGGGGAGGGGGGGGGGAGGTGGGGGGAGGGGGAGAGGGAAGGGGGAGGAGGGGGAGGAGGGAGGGGGAGGAGGGGGGGGAAGGGGGAGGAGAAGAAGGGGGGGGAGGAGGAGGAGGGGGAAGGGGGAGGAGGAGGGAGAAGGGGGAAGGAGGGGGGGGGAGGGGGAAGGGGGAGGAGAAGAAGGAGGAGGGGGGGGCAGGAGTATTTGGCTGTTGATGTAAATTCCACAACAGCCACTCCGTTGCGCAATCATTGATGAAAGTGGGTTGATAGTCAACAGCCGAATTCTCACCGTCACCTCCGCCGCTACCCCCCCCTTACCCCCCCTCTTACCCTCCCCCCTACCCCCCCCTTACCCCCCCCCTCCCCCCGTGTCCCCCATGTCCCAGTCTGCTGGGCGTGCCGAGCCTGGAGGAGTGGCTGCTCGGAGCCTCCCTGCCGCACGGCGACTTTGCCGCGCAAACTCAGCTCGGTGGTCGCCACTCCTCCTACGGTCTCCACGCTGCCCCGCGGGCCCTGGTCGACTCCACGCCGGAGATGGGGCTGGAGGTCGCGCCGGGCAACGAGAATGTGGCGATGGCGCTGCTGCTGGTGAGACGCGGGCGGATTGTACGCGACGGCAATTGTCGCGCTTCGACGGGGATTACCGTTGAGCGGGCAATAACGCATCGCCTCTCGTCTCTGTGTGTCTCTCTGTGTCTCTCTGTGTCTCTCTGTGTCTCTCTGTGTGTCTGTGTCTCTCTGTGTGTCTGTGTCTCTCTGTGTCTCTGTGTCTCTCTGTGTCTCTGTGTGTCTCTCTGTGTCTCTCTGTCTGTGTCTCTCTGTGTCTCTCTGTGTCTCTGTGTCTCTCTGTGTCTCTGTGTCTCTGTGTGTCTCTCTGTGTCTCTCTGTGTCTCTCTGTGTCTCTCCACGCCCTCCGCACGCACGGCCGTGCCTCCCGCAGGAGCTGCTGACCTTCAGCCCCCGCAAGCGCATCTCTGCGTCTGTCGCCCTCTTCCATCCGTACTTCTCTGAGGCCGCAGGCGTGGCCACGGGCGAGGCCTAAGGAGTAGGCCCTGGGGCAAGGCCTAAGGAGTAGGCCCCGGGGCGAGGCCTAAGGAGTTTGCGTCCTTTTTTGTTGCCCCCACCTTAAGAGGGTCGCTTGTGTTGCGCCCGAAACGTCGTCATTCGATTTGTTTTAATGTTTCGCCGACGTGACTTTACCGAATAAAAAAGCTAAAGGGTAATAAAAGTTAACTCTGAAGCAGCAAAAGAATGGCGAGGTACCTCTTTGTTGTTGTTGTTGTTGTTGTCGTCGTCGTGTTGTTGTTGTTGTTTTCACAAATGTGCAGCGGGCGACTTATTGAGAGCACACTCTCTCGCGTAACGCGGCTGCACACTGGCGATCCTGACACGCAGCCCCATCTCCGGCCTCGCCACGCCAGCTGCCCGTCCTGCCGAATATCCGTCACGAGGTCGGCCACGAAGAGATGATGCCGGCGAGCAGCGACGCAGCCAGCACCCACGGCGGCACGAACCGCCGGTCCATCATCCCTCATATCCGCCAAGCGCCACCTCTGGCCACGCCCCCTTTCCAGAACCCTCCAGCCGCTTCCCAGAGGAGCTTCTTGACCGACTCCGCCTTCATCTTCACCCCAGATACGCCCCCCCACCCCCCATATAATGAGGCATTGCGTAATGCACCCATGACCGTAATCACCACTCCAGGCCGACAGGTGTCACCCTATAGTTATAGGTTATTTAAATCCTTTATACTGGTAGGAACGAAGTGAACCAGCCTACAATAGATTATATCGTCCGTCCGATGTCCGATTAGGTGTAGCAACATCGCCCCCTACTGCAAACACTTGGCAGGACCCTACAAAAACCTTTAGACTCAGTGAGGCTTTCCTGGCTAAACAAGTGTAACATTCCCTTATAATTCCCTGAGATAGCTTTTAATGAAAACATTTAAATTACAAATTAACTCACAGCGGCCTAAAGCCTACAGCTAGGCCTAAAGCCTAGAACTAGGCCTCAAACTCTCCCTTCGTATCGTACCCCCGCCATTTCATTTTATTATAGCCATTCATTTGTTCGTTCCTACCAGCCCACCCCGCAGGGACCTGTTCTAAACGGAATCAGCACATCAAATTAAATCCGCAGAGGAGGGGAAGACGGGTCCCAAGCATGCGACACTCACAACCATCAGTGGCAGATACTTGGCCGAGAGAGTCGAGAGAGAGAGGAAGAGACTTTTCAGGACTTTATTTCCGCTAAAACATTAACAAAAAACCATTACGGGGAAAAAACACACGTAAATTGTAAATCGATAAAACATCAAACTCTTTAACAGCTGTGTGTGCACGAACTACACGTGGCACAGGGATAGAGGCTGTGCAAACGAGGCGGTGCACGGACATCTCCGTGTGTAGCAAAGTCGCTACGTGAGTGGGTGAGTGTGTGAACAGATGAGTGGGTGAGTGTGTGTGTGAACAGGTGAGTGAGCGAGTGGGTGTGTGAGGTGAGTGGGTGAGGTGAGTGTGTGAGGTGAGTGGGTGAGCGAGTGTGTGGGTGGGTGAGTGGGTGAGCGAGTGAGTGGGTGGGTGAGTGGGTGAGCGAGTGAGTGGGTGTGTGAGTGGGTGAGCGAGTGTGTGGGTGGGTGAGTGGGTGAGCGAGTGTGTGGGTGGGTGGGTTAGTGGGTGTGTGAGTGGGTGAGCGAGTGTGTGGGTGGGTGGATTAGTGGGTGTTTGAGTGGGTGAGCGAGTGTGTGGGTGGGTGAGTGGGTTTTTCTATTTGATGAATCAAAATGCGATGTGAAAAAAATATTTTTTTCTCCCCGACATTTTCAAAACGAAATGGCGTTGACGCGTCAAACACCTGAAATCATTTTTTTTTTACGGATTCAGTTGTCGGTTTTCATTAAAGTGTAATGACAGGGTCACGCCTGGCGGGGTCACGGGGTCACACCTGGTGACGTCACGGGGTCACACCTGGTGACGTCACGGGGTCACGCCTGGCGAGGTCACGGGGTCACACCTGGCGAGGTCACGGGGTCACGCCTGGTGACGTCACGGGGTCACGCCTGGTGATGTCACGGGGTCACACCTGGCGGGGTCACGGGGTCACGCCTGGTGACGTCACGGGGTCACACCTGGTGATGTCACGGGGTCACACCTGGGGGGGTCACGGGGTCACGCCTGGTGACGTCACGGGGTCACACCTGGCGAGGTCACGGGGTCACGCCCGCTGGCCTGGGAAGGGATTCACGGGTACGGCCACAGAGGCAACAACCGATCAACGTGAGCACGTCGAGTGAGCGGGCGGGCAACTTGCGGTTTGACGGTGAACACGGCAGAGCGGACGTGAGCTTCAGAGCGAACGCCGAGCGGTGGGATGCCGTCCGCGGCCTGACGAACGCCGCCGCGACGGCCACGCGGCACTACGGGTGCGTGCCGCTCGTCGGCAGGCGCGCGGCGACCGGCTGCCGGGGCGCGGGGAAGTCGCCGGGATACGCCGGGAGGTTCCGGACGGGGCAGCCGGGAGGCAGCGTGGCGGCGGGGACCGGGCCCACCCTCAGGGGGTTGGCGTCGCCGAGGATTTCGTAGAGAAGGCCGCTGGCCACTTCGCGAGCTCCTTCCGCGCTGGAGCTCAGCACCGCGGGGAAGAAGCCGCTGCCTTCCCGCATCATCCCGGGAACGGAGACCTTGTACAAGAGGCCCATGGGCCTGCCGGGCTCCGAGTGAGCGTGCAGTTCGAAGGTCGCGTGGCCCACGCCGGCGCTCCGTAGCAGCGCCTGCAAACGCGTCTCCCACGACAAGACGGCCGTCTCCGGCAGCTCGTCCAGACCGATTGGCGTGGGCCACGGGTGGTGAGGTGCCCGCCAGAGCAGCGTGTGCGCCGCCCAGCCCACAAACAGGTTGTGCGGGGCCTTGTCGGAGACGGCGCACTCCGGCGGCGGGAGGCCTGGGACTGCCGCCACCTCCTCCTCGTCTTCCATTGCCTCCTCCTCCCCCACCTCCTCCTCCCCCACCTCCTCCACCTCCTCCTCCACCGCCTCCTCCCCCCCCCCCTCCTCATCTTCAGTTGCCACCGCCTCCTCCCCCCCTTCCTCGTCGTCTTCCGTTGCCACCACCACCACCGCCGCGGCAGCAGCAGCAGCAGCCGCCGCCCCCGGGTCTCGCTGCGGGATGGCCCAGTCCACGTGGATGTCTCGGCCCCACAGCCGGAAGGAGTACGGCAGCAGCACCCTGCGGGCCATGCAGGCCGCGCGGTGGCTCTCGTATTCGACGAACGCGAAGCCTCGGCTGTGGCTCCTGTCGTGGCGACAGAAGCGCATCTGGACGTCCACGACGCCCTCCGTGACGTCGCTCATTGCCGCCATCACCTCGGCCCGCGTCCTAACCTTCGGCAGCCCCGCCAAGAAGAGGCGGCGATTGTCGACGCTCACGTGAACCGCGATCCGTTGCCCCGGGCGGATCTCCGACTTGTGGAGTCTCCTGACGGCGTCCGCGGCTTGCGAGCGCGTCGCGAAGGTGGCGAAGGCGTAGCCGCGGTTCTCTCCGTGGTACGTCATCATGAGGCGCAGCTGGTACAGCCGCCCCACCGCCTCCAGCACGGGCACCAGCTCGTCCTCGTACAGGTCGCGCGGGATCCTCGCCAGGAACACCTCGCAGCCGCGGGCGGGAGGGGGGCCCTGCCAGTCGGGCGGCGGTCCCAGCTTCCTCTGTCCGTTCTCCTGGACGATGTTGTAGCCCGTGCGCAACACGAGGTCCAGCAGGTCCCTCTCCACGCAGCTCATGATGTCGAGCATCGGCGCTTTGTCCACGGCGGCGGTGACGACGGGGCAGCGGCTTGGGGCCCGTTGGAGCCCTTGACACTCACCGGCGCAGAAGCCTCGTGCCGACAAAGCCACGGCGGGGGGCGGAATCAACTCGTGAAAAGGCGGGAACTCGCTCGGGCCAAGCCTACAGGCCCAGCAGTGGAGAGAGGAAGAGAGAGTGGAGAGACGGATGGAGAGAGAGCTACCTTTGTAAACTCGGAAAATCACAATAAAATAGAAACCCAAGAAACTGTGTCTTGACCTTTGAACCGCCCTGTATAATGACCCCTCACCCCCAGTAGACGACCTGGTACCCCTCCTCACTCATCCACTCACTGACCCATCCACGCACCTCACACAGCCAGTCACTCACACACTCACCCACCCACTCACCCGCACACCCAGTCGCTCACACACTCACCTCACACACTCACCCACCCACTCGCTCACACACTCACCCACCCACTCACCCGCACACCCACTCGCTCACACACTCACCCACCCACTCACCCGCACACCCACTCGCTCACACACTCACCTCACACACTCACCCACCCACTCACCCGCACACCCACTCGCTCACACACTCACCTCACACACTCACCCACCCACTCGCTCACACACTCACCCACCCACTCACCCGCACACCCACTCGCTCACACACTCACCCACCCACTCACCCGCACACCCACTCGCTCACACACTCACCCACCCACTCACCCGCACACCCACTCGCTCACACACTCACCTCACACACTCACCCACCCACTCACCCGCACACCCACTCGCTCACACACTCACCCACCCACTCACCCGCACACCCCCTCGCTCACACACTCACCCACCCACCCACTCGCTCACACACCCACCCACTCACCCACCCGCACACCCACTCGCTCACACACTCGCTCACACACTCACCCACCCACTCACCCACCCACTCACCCGCACACCCACTCGCTCACTCACTCACCTCACACACTCACCTCACACACTCACCCGCACACTCACCCGCACACTCACCCGCACACTCACCCGCACACTCACCCGCACACTCACCCGCACACACACTCGCTCACACACTCACCCACCCACTCACCTGCTCACACACTCACCCACCCACTCACCCACACACCCACTCGCTCACACACTCTCCCACCCACTCACCCACTCACTGATGATGAGAGAGAGAGAGACACGCAGACTCCAAATATACAACAGTAGGCGTCGCCAGGGCCGGGATCGAACCCACGACCTCCTGCATACCAGGCGAGGTAGTTAACATCTCCTAGCCACCGTGATGATGATGAGAGAGACACACAAACTCCAAATATACAGCAAGAATCTTCAGTATCGGGATCAAACCCACGACCTCCTGCATACCAGGCGAGGTAGTTAACATCTCCTAGCCACCGTGATGATGATGAGAGAGACACACAAACTCCAAATATACAGCAAGAATCTTCAGTATCGGGATCAAACCCACGACCTCCTGCATACCAGGCGAGGGAGTTAACATCTCCTAGCCACCGTGATGATGAGAGAGAGACACAAACTCCAACTCCAAATTAAGTTTGAATGTTTGCGTGTCGTTAAACCGGCCATCAGCCGACAGCCAATTCGCAAGGTTTATCACGTGACATACCGTGCCAATCTGTCACTGGAGCAGCACTAACCGGTTGTGTGTTGGAGTGTCTGTGTGTACACACTGTGTGTGTCTGTGTGTGTGTGTGTGTCTGTGTGTACACTGTGTGTGTGTGTTGGAGTGTCTGTGTGTACACACTGTGTGTCTGTGTGTGTGTGTACACTGTGTGTACACACTGTGTGTGTCTGTGTGTGTGTGTACACTGTGTGTCTGTGTGTACACTGTGTGTCTGTGTGTACACTGTGTATGTGTGTCTGTGTGTGCACTGTGTGTGTGTGTACACTCTGTGTGTGTGTCTGTGTGTGTGTACACTGTGAGTCTGTGTGTACACTGTGTGTGTGTACACACTGTGTGTGTCTGTGTGTCTGTGTCTGTTTGTCTGTGTGTGTGTACACTGTGTGTGTGTGTGTACAATGTGTGTGTGTGTACACTCTGTGTGTGTACACTGTGTGTGTGTACACTGTGTGTGTACAATGTGTGTGTGTGTGTACACTGTGTGTGTACACTGTGTGTGTGTACAGTGTGTGTGTACAGTGTGTGTGTACAGTGTGTGTGTACAGTGTGTGTGTGTACACTGTGTGTGTGTACACTGTGTGTGTACAGTGTGTGTGTACACTGTGTGTGTGTACAATGTGTGTGTGTACACTGTGTGTGTGTAGTGTGTGTACACTGTGTGTGTGTACACTGTGTGTGTACAATGTGTGTGTGTGTACACTGTATGTGTACACTGTGTGTGTGTACACTGTGTGTGTGTGTACACTGTGTGTGTGTGTGTTCACCACGCCCGGCGGACCCGTTATTCGATCCCGACTCCTGCCGGGGGAGGCGCTCCGGGCGCGGCGGGTCCGCTAGGAAAACTCGGGATGGCCCGAGGCCGACTAGGCCGCAGTCTTCCCTCCCCTCTGTTCTAGATGGTGACGGTGTTGCTGATGTTGTTGTTGATGTTGCTGATGCTGATGATGTTGTTGTTGTTGATGTTGTTGTTGATGTTGCTGATGTTGTTGATGATGTTGTTGATGCTGATGTTGTTGTTGTCGATGCTGATGATGTTGTTGTTGTTGATGTTGTTGTTGATGTTGCTGATGTTGTTGATGATGTTGTTGATGCTGATGTTGTTGTTGTCGATGCTGATGATGATGTTGTTGATGATGTTGTTGATGCTGATGATGTTGTTGTTTTTGCTGCTGATGATGATGTTGCTGATGCTGTTGTTGTTGTTGATGCTGATGATGTTGTTGTTGATGTTGATGCTGTTGTTGTTGATGCTGATGATGTTGTTGTTGATGTTGATGCTGTTGATGTTGATGCTGTTGATGTTGTTGTTGTTGATGCTGATGATGTTGTTGTTGATGTTGCTGATGATGTTGTTGTTGATGCTGCTGCTGATGATGTTGTTGCTGCTGATGCTAGGGGTGGTGATGATGTTGCTGATGATGGTGTAGATGATGTTATTAATGATGTTGCTGATGATGTTGCTGCTGCTGATGTTGTTGTTGTTGATGCTGATGATGCTGCTGATGATGTTGATGTTGTTGTATATGATGGTGTAAATGATGTTTATTGATAATGTTGATGATCGCAAACATCAACATAATTTATTAATTTATTCAGTTAGGGTAGCCTCTCATTGTGGGAGGGGAGGGTCTTGTACCCCAGAAGTGACGTCATGTCATCTGCTGCCGCGTGACGTCACGAGGTAACAGGAAGCTGGAGGTCCGCGCGTGAACTGAAATTCGAGGTGAGAAATTTTCATTGCGGTTGTTGTTGTGGTTGTTGTTGTGGTTGTTGTTGTTGTTTACCAAGCTAGAGCCTCGCTCTCTCTCTCGTAGGGATGTCACTAGAGCAGCAGCAGCTTGTGAATCGATGTCCAAGTTGGAACTTTACAACGCGGGGCCTAGACACGCGGGGCCTTGCCTCCTGCCCTCGCCTGGTCGCGTTTGCTTTAATTCCCTCCCTTAAGTTTAATTTGTCTTCACGCGGCTCGCTACTTTGTCACTTTGGTTTACTGTAGATATTAACGCAGTTTTTTTTTTCGTTTTTTTACCAGCCCAAGCCCGCCTGAGCTGCTGTACCGCTCTTGTTTACAGAAGCTACCTGCCCACAACAACAACAAGGTGGGTGGGTGGGGTTTTGTCAACGCGTGTGTCTCAATGTTTTGACTTAAAACTTTCGTAACTGCAACAATTCATATTCTTGGTTCTTTCTGTAAAGTCACGGAGATAGAAAATGAAATAACAGATAAAAATGTTAAATTAAATAAAAAAATTGCAAATAAAGCAAAAAAAACCCACGACGTTTTGACCGCAACACAAGTGGTCTTTGTTTATTTCCATTATCTGTTATTTGTATTTGCTATCTACGTGACTTTAGAACCAAGACTACGTGTGTCAATGTCTGTCAAACACGCTGAGCGCGTGCTCATGTTGACTCTAAATGTGGAGGGGACAACCCCTGCTGCTGTTGACCATGGCAGTGTGTGTGCCAGAGTCAAGTCTGTTCACTCTGTTGAACACGCACGTTATATCAAAACAATATTACATCTTCTGGGTTCTTTCGGTAAAGTCACGTAGAAGGGAAATAATAAAATAATAAAACATAATAAAATAATTCTCACGACGTTTCGGCCACAACGCAAGCAGCCGTCCTCAGGTGAAAACCAGGTCTGACAGACCTGGTTTTCTGATAGACCTGTTTTCACCTGAGGACGGCTGCTTGCGTTGTGGCCGAAACGTCGTGAGAATTATTTTATTATGTTTTATTTTATATTATTTTATTATTTCCCTTCTACGTGACTTTACCGACAGAACCAAGAAAATCTATTAACTCTATTGAACACGGAGGTTATATCACAACAATAGTTTGTTTTTGGTTTCCTCTGGAACTCTTTATAAGAATGGAAAAAGTCAAGAAGTTGACACAGCACACACGTGCAGCAGCTGAAGTCAGATCTGCTCATCTCAGCAATCAGGACATCGTGAGCCTGGCTGGCTTCACACCTCTAAGTTGCGATTGAACATTAATTTATGCATTTCTGCATAACACAAATAGTATTATTTTCAACACCCTTTGCTATGTCAGCTGAATTTAGCTTTCATAAATATTCCTTTTGTAGCTTGACAGCCGAAATTGTGTTCTCGGAGTTTTGGGTTAACATTCATTTTGAAGATACAAGAGCTTCCAGGCATGTTTGTGACCATTCGCCCTCTCATTGTGTGCCATAACAGCCCGTGTGATGAATTTGGTAAACTTTTTCACTATATCATGAATATCTATGAATAAGTATAGACGTGTAAGTCACGTGTGACTGTGTATATATGCATTCCGCTGTGCCTCGATACTGACGTGTAGATGGTGTGGATATTCTTTTTTTCTGTCTGCAGCTGTTGCTTCCTCTGCAGAATTGGTCTGATGGAGCAAAGGCACTCGGCGCAGCTCGTTGCAAAAAGGCATCGATGCGACCAGTGTGCATACAGCACAGATCATACTGCAAACTTGACACGGCACCAGAGAACTCACACAGGAGAGAAACCCTTCAAGTGCAGCGTGTGTGGGAAGGCGTTTGCACAGTTATCTACTCTTGTAACACACCAGAGAACACACACGGGAGAAAAACCCTTCAAGTGCGGTGTGTGTGGGAAGGCGTTTGCACATTCATCTGCTCTTGTAGAACACCAGAGAACACACACGGGAGAGAAACCCTTCAAGTGCAGTGTGTGTGGGAAGGCGTTTGCACATTCATCTGCTCTTGTAGAACACCAGAGAACACACACGGGAGAGAAACCCTTCAAGTGCAGTGTGTGTGGGAAGGCGTTTTCAAAGTCATGTAATCTTGTAACACACCAGAGAACACACACGGGAGAGAGACCCTTCAAGTGCAGTGTGTGTGGGAAGGCGTTTGCACATTCATCTGATCTTGTAACACACCAGAGAACACACACAGGAGAGAAACCCTTCAAGTGCAGTGTGTGTGGGAAGGCGTTTGCACATTCATCTGATCTTGTAACACACCAGAGAACACACACGGGAGAGAAACCCTTCAAGTGCAGTGTGTGTGGGAAGGTGTTTTCTGTTTTACATCATCTCGTAACACACCAGAGAACACACACGGGAGAGAGACCCTTCAAGTGCAGTGTCTGTGGGAAGGCGTTTGCACATTCATCTGATCTTGTAGAACACCAGAGAACACACACGGGAGAGAAACCCTTCAAGTGCACTCCGTGCGGGAAGGCGTTTGCACAGTCAGCACATCTTCATGTACACCAGAGAACACACAAGCATCAGAAGATCCACAAGGAGTGGAGTCTGAAATCAGCTTGTGAAAGTCAAAGTGCTGCAATGAGCCCATCCCTCATCAAACAAGAACCAGAAGAAAATTCCAGCTTGGACACTTTTAAAGGTAATGAGGTGAAATATGAAGAGGTGAAATATGAAGAGGTGAAGTTGGAATGTGAAGAGGTGATGGTGAAATGTGAAGATGAAGATTCAACTCCAAAATGGGACCTTCACATCGATGGAGGCAACGTGAAGCAGGAGGAGAATTCTGACTGTGAGGCAGAGCGAGGCAACTCCCAGCAGTTTGTGGAAGTGGAGGTGTGGGTGGACTTCCTCCGAGACAACACAAAGTCAAATGGAGACCCGGTAGATGTGTAAGCTTGAGACGATGTCGCTCCAATAGATGCACCATTGTCACTGGCCTTTAATGACAATAATGTGAAGTTGAACACTCAGTTCCTAGGTTCAACCTGCAGAGTAAGAGTGAGCGGTCAGTCTTTGTGTTTTCTGTGAGTTGGGTAGATCCCTGTGTTACGATCGAAACTTTCTGATCTACTATTATTTTTGCTACCAACATGACTTTACTGAAAGAACCAAAGAGTATGTGAACAAGAGCCTGTCAGTAGGGGGATGATGATGTTTCATGTCAGTTGTGTAATTTGTCGGTAATGTTGAGAATTTGCTACATTTTGACTCGAGACGCAAGCATGCAATGGCCTACTCGTTTTGAATGACACAATAGTATGTTTTACATCCACTGTTAAGCAGACGGTGCATAATTATTTGAAATAGCTTAACCTGGTGCAGTATATTTCACTGCAGTAATTACATTGTTAAAATGTAAAATGTCTTGTCAATAATTTAGAATGAACACTGATTTTGTGTACATGCAACATTTTATTTATAAGGGTCAAACATTGAATAAGTGATGTTAGGACAAAGTTTGTGTTTTTGGAAGTAACCTGTACAGATCACTCAGGTGAGACCCGTTGTTCTTGTGATACAGGTCAAAGGGTAGTATCCACACATGCCCGTTTGCTTTTAAATAAATGTGTGCATCTTTTGATTGAAAGCTTTCGTGACTGCAGTGAACTATTTGTCTTTTGTCAACGTGACAGAATCCTGTGTTGGGATCTTGAGAGATGACGATAGCTGGGGAGGCTTTCATTCAGCCATAGATCAATCACGGCTGACAATGGTCATTCCATTTACGAGACTTTACCCGGTGTAAGAGGCCGGAGTATACCCAAATGCCGTAGTATACCCACAGGCCGTAGTATACCCACAGGTGTAGTATACCCGGGGTCTAAACGGCCTAGGCGAGATTATAGCCGGGAATATTATTGGCTAGGCCAAATGATGCCCCTCTAGACCAAATCATACCCCCGTGATAGTAATGGCGTTAGAGCGATATACACGTGAATTACTAAATTTTTCCAACATTTTATTTTAAACTGTAAACACATCGACTTTGACTGCTTCAACCAGAAAAAAACTTTAATAATAACCCCTGAACCCTAAAAATGCTTCAATTGATCAAATTTAGATTCTTACTTCCACGCGTACGCGTTTTAGATATCGATTGAAGTTCGTTGTCGCCTGTTCTCTGTCTGGATAATTGCCTGTGAACTTTCACATGGGCATAGTCTGGCCAGGAGCAGTATGGTCTGGCCCAGTCGAGTTTAAACCCCCAGGGGGTCTAGTTTAGCCTTGGAGACTTCATCCCCCCCCCCCCCCGGGTATACTCTGGACTGGGCCAAACTATACCCGGGTTTAATCGGGGCAGGGGTTATTTTAGCCTGTCGGGATGGAACTCACGACCTCCTGTACACCTGGCGAGGTAGTTAACATCTCCTAGCCACCGTGATGATGAGAGAGAGACACGCAAACTCCAAATATACAGCAGCAGGCATTGTCATGGTCTGGATCGAACCCACGACCTCCTGCGCACCAGGCGAGGTAGTCAACATCTCCTAGCCACCGTGATGATGAGAGAAACACCGCAAACTCCAAGTATACAGCAGCAGGCATCATCAGGGTCGTGATGGAACTCACGACCTCCTGTACACCCGGCGAGGTAGTTAACATCTCATAGTCACCGTGATGATAGACACGCAGACTCCAAATATACAGCAGCAGGCATCGTCAGGGTCTCGATCGAACCCACGACCTCCTGCGCACCAGGCGAGGTAGTCAACATCTCCTAGCCACCGTGATGATGAGAGAGAGAGAGACACGCAAACTCCAAATATACAGCAGCAGGCATCATCAGGGTCTCGATCGAACCCACGACCTCCTGCGCACCAGGCGAGGTAGTCAACATCTCCTAGCCACCGTGATGATGAGAGAGAGAGACACAGACCTCCTGCGCACCAGGCAAGGTAGTCAACATCTCATAGCCACCTTGATGATGAGAGAGACACCACAAACTCCAAACATACAGCAGCAGGCGTAGCCATGGTCTGGATCGAACCCACGACCTCCTGCGCACCAGGCGAGGTAGTCAACATCTCCTAGCCACCGTGGGGCAGTCATGGCTAGAGTGGTGGAGGGGGAGTGTCACCCTCCGTGTCTGGGCGGTGCGTTCGAGACCGGCTCTGGTTTGGCCCCGGAACCGTCTCGTTCCGAGTCGGTCAAGTGGCGTTCTTCGTTCGATTCGGCCGTGTGAGCTCCCCGCTCGGGGCAACCCCCGGGCAGCTTGAGTGGCGCAAGGAAATACACAGGCAGGGACACAATGTTCCACACTGCCCACCAGGGATTATTTGTCTGTCTGTCTGTCGTGCATAAATAAATATATAATACAGACAGCTCTTTGATTGGTGGAGACCTACTGCCGGGTACGGAGAGGGGAGGGGCCTAAGGGAGGGGGGAGTCAGGAGAGGGGCCTGAGGGGGGGGTCAGGGGAGGGGCCTAAGGGAAGGGGGGAGTCAGGAGAGGGGCCTAAGGATATGGGGGGGTGGTCAGGGGAGGGGTCTAAGGGGGGAGGGGCCTAAGGGGGGAGGGACCTAAGGGAGGGGGGGTTAAGGGGAGGGGCCTAAGCAAGGGGGAGGGGCCGATAGTGAAGGGGGCTGGCTGCCTGGCTACATAGAGTCACGTGATCTTGTACACAGGTAGAGGAACAGCACGTTCCACACTTGCCCACCAGGGATTATTTGTCTGTCGTGCACGAATGCGCTGTCCAACCAAGTTCCTACCTGCCCACTCCGAAGGAACGTGTTTTTTAAACGATGCGAAATAACGGCACCAAACTGTTAATTTAACTACTTTCAAGTTTCCGGATGGGAAAGCGGAACAGCGCCGGCTCACCGCGGGGCTTGCGGCGTGGAACCAGCGACTCGTCGTCAACGTCAACTCCACGGCTCGCGAGCCAAACCCTTCGCAAGTCTAGCGTCCACACGGAGACAGACGGACGGACAGACAGACACACGGAAAAAAACATGTTCCTTCGCAGTGTGCAGGTCGGAACTTGGTTGGACAGCGCATTCGTGCACGACAGACAGACACATAATCCCTGGTGGGCAGTGTGGAACCTGCTGTTCCTCTCCCTGTGTACAAGATCACGTGACTTGAGGTAGCCAGGCAGCCAGCCAGGCAGACAGCCCCCTTCACTATCGGCCCCTCCCCCTCCCTCAGGCCCCTCCCCTGACCCCCCCCTCAGGCCCCTCCCCTGACCCCCCGTCCCTTAGGCCCCTCCCCTGACCCCCCCATATCCTTAGGCCCCTCCCCTGACCCCCCCTCCCTTAGGCCCCTCCCCTGACCCCCCCTCCCTTAGGCCCCTCCCCTGACCCCCCGTCCCTTAGGCCCCTCCCCTGACCCCCCCCATATCTTTAGGCCCCTCCCCTGACCCCCCCCCCCCTCAGGCCCCTCCTCTGACCCCCCCTTCCTTAGGCCCCTCCCCTCTCCGTACCCGGCAGTAGGTCTCCACCAATCAGAGAGCTGTCTATATTATATATTTATTTATCCACGGCAGACAGACAGACAAATAATCCCTGGTGGGCAGCAGTGTGGGACATTGTTCCTACCTGTAAAAAGTGTCGTTTATAGGTAAGAAAATAAAAACGATGACGAGACTCAACGAGGAACACGGGATTTATTCGGTTCACGAGTCAACGGATATAACTTCAAAACCCTTTTGTGGGTCGTCGTTCTCTTGAGGCGGCGTTGCCGCGGGATTACTTCCAAATCGACGGGCGACACCCAAAGCAGAGCGAGCAGCTTGAGTAGCCCACTTCAGCTGTGTGTCTGTGTGTGTCTGTGTGTGTGTGTGTGTCTGTGAGTGTGTCTGTGTGTGTCTATGTGTCTGTGTGTGTCTGTGTGTGTCACTGAGTCTGTGTGTGTGTCTGTGTGTCTCTGTGTGTGTCTATGTGTCTCTGTGTGTGTCTGTGCGTGTGTCTCTGTGTGTGTCTGTGTGTCTATGTGTGTGTCTCTGTGTATGTCTGTGTGTGTCTCCGTGTGTGTCTATGTGTCTGTGAGTGTGTCTGTGTGTGTGTCTGTGTGTGTCTGTGTGTGTGTCACTGAGTCTGTGTGTGTGTCACTGAGTCTGTGTGTGTGCCTGTGTGTGTGTCACTGAGTCTGTGTGTGTGTCTGTGTGTGTGTCACTGAGTCTGTGTGTGTGTCTGTGTGTGTGTCTGTGTGTGTGTCACTGTGTCTGTGTGTCTGTGTGCGTGTCACTGAGTCTGTGTGTTTGTCACTGAGTCTGTGTGTGTGTCTGTGTGTGAGTCTGTGTGTGTGTCACTGTGTCTGTGTGTGTGTCTGTGTGTGTGTCACTGAGTGACACACACACAGACACACACAGACACACACAGCGACACACACAGCGACACGGAGCGATAGTGTAGCGGTTAGCGCGCTGCGCTATGAACCCGGTGACCCGAGTTCGATTCCCGCTCACGGCCAACACCAGTGACGATTATCTGAACCGGTCCTGGGCCTCCCCTAGGTCGACTCAGCCTCAAATGAGTACCTGGTGCGGTGTGTAAACATCACCACTAGGGAGACAAAGGCGGTCGGGCGTGGTGCTGGCCACCCACCCCCTCGTGTGCCGTGCTGGCCTTCATAGGTGCTCGCTAACAGCACTTGCCCCTACAGTCTGTTAAGGCTATATAAGGGATCTTTGTTGTCACTGAGTCTGTGTGTGTGTCACTGAGTCTGTGTGTGTCTGTGTGTCTGTGTGTGTGTCTGTGTGTGTGTCACTGAGTCTGTGTGTGTGTCACTGAGTCTGTGTGTGTGTACGTGTGTGTGTCTGTGTGTGTGTCACTGAGTCTGTGTGTGTCTGTGTGTGTGTCTGTGTGTGTCTGTGTGTGTGTCACTGAGTCTGTGTGTGTCTGTGTGTGTGTCACTGAGTCTGTGTGTGTCTGTGTGTGTCTGTGTGTGTGTCTGTGTGTGTCTGTGTGTGTGTCTGTGTGTGTGTCTGTGTGTGTGTCTGTGTGTGTGTCTGTGTGTGTGTCTGTGTGTGTGTCTGTGTGTGTGTCACCGAGTCTGTGTGTGTGTGTCTGTGTGTGTGTCACTGAGTCTGTGTGTTTGGGAAGTTGTCGTCATTGTCGCTGTCTTCGGAGGACGAGTACGGATCCAGAAACAATCTCTGCACACACACACGTACACACACACACACACGTAAACACACACACGTACACACACACACGTTCACACACACACGTACACACACACGTACACACGCACACGTACACACGCACACTAACACACACACACGTACACACACACACGTTCACACACACGTACACACACACACGTACACACACGTACACACACACACGTACACACACACACGTACACACGCACACGTACACACGCACACTAACACACACACACGTACACACACACACGTTCACACACACGTACACACACACACGTACACACACACGTACACACACGTACACACACACACGTTCACACACACACACGTACACACGCACACACGCACACGTTCACACGTACACACACACACGTACACACACACACGTACACACACACGTACACACACACACGTACACACACACGTTCACACACACACGTACACACACACACGTACACACACACACGTACACACACGTACATACACACACGTTCACACACACACGTACACACACGTACACACACACACATACACACACACGTACACACACACACGTACACACACACACGTACACACACACACGTTCACACACACACGTACACACACACACGTTCACACACACACACACGTTCACACACACACGTACACACACACACGTACACACACACACACGTTCACACGCACACGTACACACGCACACGTACACATGCACACGTTCACACACACACGTACACACACACACACGCTCACACACACACACGTACACACACACACGTTCACACACACACGTACACACACACACGTACGCACACACACGTACGCACACACACGTACGCACACACACGTACGCACACACACGTTCACACACACGTTCACACACACTTACACACACACACGTTCACACACACACGTACACACACACACGTACACACACACACGTTCGCACACACACGTACGCACACACACGTACACACACACGTTCACACACACACGTTCACACACACTTACACAACAACAACAACCGCCATTCGCCACTAATTGGCGGTGACGTCACCACGACGCTTGTGCCAGGCCAAGTGCACCTTGAGGCCATGTGAAGTGTCGAACGCCCGCTGACAGGAGGTCACGGGTGCCACGGGTCGACTGACCAAGATGACCGAGATGACTGGCTGATGCACCACCTGTGCCCCCTATTGTACCAACTTGCTGTGCTTTAGCCACCCGGCGCTCCGCTCATTGTTGTGAGCGTCGCTCCTCCGCCCTCCTTTGATGTTGGAGGGCGACTGCCTCCAACTGCCCAGTAGCGTCCTTCACGAGCCTCCTCCACTAAGGCCGATCTTGACACCTGGTACCAGTCATCGGCAAGTCCACTCAGCTCCACGTCCTCCTGCACCACATCACTCCATCTCTTCTCTAGCCCGTGCCGCGCCCGTTTAGCCCCCTCGATCCGGCTGAACAAAAGCTGTTTAGGCATGCGGTGGCTGGGCATGCGGGCTACATGACCCAGCCAACGCAGCCTTGCCTGCCGGAGGAGCTCACCGATGGGACTTTGCCCAGATCTTTCAAGGATTTGTGAGCTCCTCACACAATCCAGCCTGGTTAAACCCAAGATGGATCGTAGGCAGGCCAGCCTAAATGTTTTCAACCGGCGAAGATGCTCCATTAGGGGGGTCCACGTTTCGCAAGCGTAGAGAAGGGAGGGAATGACCGTGGCCCAGAAGACCTGAAGCTTCGTGCGGAGCGACAGACCAGGTAGCTTCCACACAGCGTTACGCAACCGATGAAAAGATATTGCCGCTCGACTGATTCGGAGTGAGACCTCTGCTGACAAACTGGAGCCGGTCATAAGCACACTGCCCAGGTATGGGAAACTCTCCACTCTCTCCACAACTGCCCCATCACCAATTGGGAGTTGTTGGGGTGGAGTGTCCGATGGTACAAAATACCCAGGCAGGTGCTTAGTTTTGGTGGGGCTGATGGTAAGGCCCCACCTCTTAGTGGCACGCTCCAGTCTCAGCAGCAGCGTCTCCAACTCCTCTTCTGAATGAGCAGCTATTACCAAATCATCGGCATACATAACGTGGTTGACCAATAGGGAGCCATCCCTTGATCGCACCCGGGCGTCGATCAGCCTCCCATTATATCTGTACCAAATGGAAATTCCCCCAGTACAGCTATTGAAGGCGTCACGAACTACGCAGTCGAAATAGATGTTAAATAATGTGGGAGCCAGAGGACATCCCTGTCGCACCCCAAGGTGTACAGAGAAAGGCTCCGACTCCCGGCCACGTAGTTTTACCCGGGCCCGCTCACCATCATGAAGGTCCTTAATGATCGTGAGCAGAGGGTCAGGGACTCCGAAAGCATGAAGACCAACCCAGAGCCCAGGCCTACTGATGGTATCATAGGCCTTGACCAAGTCAATAAAATAGAGATGTAGGTCTTGTTGGAATTCCCTACACCTCTGCTGTAGCAGACGGACAGAAAATATGGCATCTATACAGGACCACCCTTTCCTGAAACCGCATTGGGGTTCCGCAAGCCTCTCCTCAGCGTGCCTAGCAAGGCGATGTTGAATAATCCTTGCCAGGATCTTTCCCGGCACACTGAGGAGTGAGATGCCCCTGTAGTTGTTACAGTCTGTGCGGTCTCCCTTCTTAAAGAGGGGGACCACCAGGGCATCCTTCCAATCCTGCGGAGCCCGTCCAGCGGTCCAGACTGTTGTTATGATGTCATATAGGGCAATCTGTGCACAAGCACCACCCTCCCACAGCATTTCGCTTGGGAGATCATCTCTGCCCGGTGCCTTTCCTGGTCTCAGGCTCTGGATTGCCTTCAGTACTTCCTCAACGGATGGCACCTCAGTCAGCCACTCACAGGGGGTGACTTCTTCTTCCAATATTTGAGGCACCGAAGCCTCAGCAGGGTTATCCCCACTTTGTGCCATGATATTTTTCTGGCTGAGAGATTTTCCCTCCCCCAGGAGCTCAGAGAAATGCTCAGCAAATATGCAAACCTGTTCCTGAGTGTCGGAGATTGGATCACCGTTTTTTCCCCTAATGATGGTAATAGGTGTGGCGCTGCAGGTTACTTTTTTGATGGAGTTAAATAGTGATTTGTGATCGCAGGCCACTGAGGCAGATTCCATCTCCTCAGCAACCCGCGACCACCACCCTTCCTTGCAGCGCCTTACGGCTCTCCGAACCTCCAAGCGAAGGCTGCGGTAAACCTCCTCATTCTCTGACGTGGGATGCTGTAGGCGATGAGAGTGGGCCTGTCGCTTTTTCTCAATTAACCTGAACACCTCCTCTGTCAGCCAGGGTTTCTGGGGAGGTCTGGACCGCCATTGCAGCTGCATGAGTCACAGTCTTAAACCTCGCCCATTTACCCTCGACATCAGGTGGAGTGGGGGACGATGCCAACCCCAGCTGCAAGCGATGATGAAATTCTCTCTTGCAACTTTCATCAGCTAACTGAGACCAGGCCACTTTTGGTTGGAATGGGATCCTGGGTGTACACCCACCACCGGAGTGGATAAATGGCAGGCGCATCTTACAGATGACTAGTCGATGGTCAGAGGGCAGATCAGCTCCACGGTAGGTCCTGGTGTCAAGGACATGGGCTCGCATCCGCTGGTCCGTCACTATGTAGTCCAGCAGATGTTCTTGCTTGGACCCGGCATGCATCCATGATGTTGTGTGGATGCGCCGATGCCGGAAGAGCGTGTTGGTAATTACAAGCCCATGGGCTGCACAAAAATCTAGCAGCCTCCTACCATTGTTATTGAGCTGATCTGGCCCATGCCTTCCAATCACTCCAGACCAGGTGCCAGCATCATGACCAACTCGGGCATTGAAGTCCCGAGTGGCCACTTTAGCCAGCACCTGTGACAGGAGGTCATAGAAAGCGTCTGACTCATCGGCTTTGCCTGCATCCCTCCACGGATGTTCGTCTTCGGTGGGGGCATAAGTAACCACGACCACCACTCCTCGCCTCCGGTTGATGGGACGGCGAGCCCAAAGTATCCTGGGGCTTACAGCTTCCCACACCTCCCACGCCCCCTTCATTCTTTTGTTCAGAAGAAGAGCCACACCCTGTTGTTTGGCAGTCTCCTGCCCCGAGTAGAGGACTGCCCACCCCTCAAGAGCCAGAACCGGTCCACCGGACCTCCTGAATGCCACAGAGATCCAGGCGGTACCGGTCCAGCTCCCGACAAAGGAGTGGCAGCCTCTTCTCCGCAGTGAGCGTTCGAACATTCCACGTGGCCAACCGCAATGGTTTTTCGTTGTTTCTGGAGGAGCCCCGAGGGTGAAGATTCAATCTCCTGGCTCCGCCAAATGGGGTTTGGCCAGGAGACGTCATAAAAGCCTGACCCCCCGGGGCCTCCGGCACAAGCTTATTAGTTACAGGTTTATGTTTAATTCGTGGTTTCGTGGTAATTAATAGAAGGTGGAGGGGTTACCAGCCCCTCGCAGCCGTCCAGAGCCCCCGTTTAGCCACTGTGGTGGTCACAGATGCCATGAGGGGAGAGGCCAATGGGCATTGGCCCTCCCCCCACAGCACTGCCCACGACAGTGTTGCCCGTCCGGCACACACGTTCACACACACGTACACACACACGTACACACACACGTACACACACACGTACACACACACACACGTACGCACACACGTACACACACGTACGCACACACGTACACACACACGTACACACACGTACACACACACACGTACGCACACACACACGTACACACACACGTACACACACACACGTACGCACACACCGACCTTTGAGCTGGACAGTGTCCGCGAACTGCGTCTTTTTTTCTCGTACCACACTCCTTGGTTGAAGACGGGGCTGTGGGTAACCACATTGACAGCACTCACCCACAGCGGCACTCACCACGCAGACACCCATAGACATCACCACACAGACACCCATAGACATCACCACACAGACACCCATAGACATCATCACCACGCAGACACCCATAGACATCACCACACAGACACCCATAGATTCACCACACAGAGACAGATGTGTCATAAATCCGCTCCGGACGATATCGTGTCTTTTGTCTGGTCTGTATTTGTTCTCCATGTACACAGCTCCCTCACACGCCGGGTTCCTTTTCCCCCGTTACTCCAGTGTGGCGTTCGCTCGCTCGCTCCCTCACACCTCTCCACCAGAGGTTGCAACCGGGTATCCGATACCCGGCTACCCGTACCCGGCCGGGTACGGGTAGCCGTTTGCGACCCTGGTGCGGCCGGGTACGGGTAGGCCGTGAGTCACTGGTGAGTAACCATTTGTCACTCATTTCGGGTAGGGTACGGGTAGGGAACGGGTACCCGTACCCAGCCGGGTACAGGTAGGGTACGGGTATCGGGTATAGGTAGGGTACGGGTACAGGTAGGCCGTGAGTCACCGGTGAGTAACCGTTTGTCACTCGTTTCGGGTAGGGTACGGGTAGGGAACGGGTACCCGTACCCAGCTGGGTACGGGTAGGGTACGGGTACGGCCGGGTACGGGTACCCGTTTACGACCCTGGTGCGGCCGGGTACGGGTGTCGGGTACGGGTAATCGGGTACAGGGGGTAAGGAATCAAAACCCGTTTGCGACCTCTGCTCTCCACACTGACCACGAGCTTGTGTCTCTCTACCCCTTACACCACGTGGCCCACGTGATGCCACCCATCCAATCAGCAGCCTCACCCCTGGAACCTTCTAGATGTTGCTGTGCAGCCCCAGGGCCACGCCTCTGGCTCGACATCCCATTGGCTGCGGGCTGAGGCCGGCAGAGCCAATCACCATCGCCCAGTTATCCCCCCCCCCCCAGACACACACACACAATATGCATCTTCATATTACACGTGTATGTTTATGTGTGTATGTATATGTGTGTGTATGTGTGTGCATGTATATGTGTGTATGTGTATGTATATGTGTGTGTATGTATATGTGTGTGTATGTGTGTGTATGTGTAGGGATTATTACGGGAGAAACGGCGGACAACAAACACAGGGGTGTTGGCACTCACATACACGGGTGGTCACACCGACGTCCGCATCCGTTATTGCCCACGCCCCCAGCCCTCGGAGGTGATCCCTATAAAAGGTGGAGACCCAAAGAGCTCGAGGCAGTTCGACACGAAGCTGACCAGTGAAGATCCAAGACTCGGAGATTAGGCCCTGGGACTCCCCGGTCTCGCCGTCCTTATAAGGGCCGAGCCGGGTAAGCCAGCGGCGCGGCCCAAAAGCTTCCAGACCGCTGCCCTTATCAGGGCAAGGCTGGTTAGCTGGTGCCGAGATCTGTGCTTGCCAGGGCCAGATCAGTCAGCCTCCCGTAGCCCAGTAGAGGAGGACTGGGGAACAGGACAGGGGGCTTAGTACTAGGGTGGGTTTCCCATAGTACGGGTGAAGGGGTCGATACCCCTTCAACTATTGTGCCTGTCCCTGGGTTAATAAACAGAGTGTGCCTCAACTTCGACATCGTCTCCTCGAACTTACTACATATGTGTGTGTATGTATATGTGTGTGTATGTGAATGGGGAGCGGTAGTGTAGCGGTTAGCGCTACGCTGCGCTATGAACCCGGCGACCCGGGTTCGATTCCCGCTCACGGCCAACACCAGTGACGATTATCTGAACCGGTCCTGGGCCTCCCGTAGGTCGACTCAGCCTGAAATGAGTACCTGGTGCGGTGTGTAAACATCGCCACTGGGGAGACAAAGGCGGTCGGGCGTGGTGCTGGCCACACACCCCCTCGTGTGCCGTGCCGGCCTTCATAGGTGCTCGCTAACAGCACTTGCCCCTACAGTCTGTTAAGGCTATACGGAGGATCTTTGTCTTGTGTATGTGTAATGGCAGGGTGACACCTGAGGGGTTACTGCGGTTATAGCTGCATGACGTAACGCCTCATCGTGAAGGGGCGCATCTTGGGTCGAAGATGAAGGGCTGAGTCAGTCGAGAAGCTGATGTCGAGGGTAAATGGGCGAGGTTTAGGACTGTGACTCACGCAGCTGCAATGGCTGCTTTGGGTATGCGGTCCAGACCTCCCCAGAGACCCTGGCTGACAGAGGAGGTGTTCAGGATAGTTGAGAAAAAGCGACAGGCCCACTCTCATCAGCTACAACATCCCACGTCGGAGAATGAGGCTTCGCTCGGAGGTTCGGAGAGGCGTGAGGCGCTGCAAGGATGGGTGGTGGTCGCGGATCACAATTTCCTATTTAACTCCATCAAAAAAGTAACCTGCAGCGCCACACCTATTACCATCATTAGGGGAAAAAACGGTAATCCAATCTCCGACCCCCAGGGAACAGGTTTGCAGATTTTTTGAGCATTTCTGTGAGGTCCTGGGGGAGGGGAAATCCCTCAGCCAGGAAAACATCATGGCACAAAGTGGGGATGCCCCTGTTGAGGCTGCGGTGCCTCAAATATTGGAAGAAGTCACCCCCTGTGAGTGGCTGGCTGAGGTGCCATCTGTTGAGGAAGTACTGAAGGTGATCCAGAGTCTGAGACCAGGAAAGGCACCGGGCAGAGATGATCTCCCAAGCGAAATGCTGAGGGAGGGTGGCGTTTGTGCACAGACTGCCCTACATGACATCATAACAACAGTCTGGACCACTGGACGGGTTCCGCAGGACTGGAAGGATGCCCTGGTGACCCCCTCTTTAAGAAGGGGGACCGCACAGACTGTAACAACTACAGGGGTTTCAGGAAAGGGCAGTCCTGCACAGATGCCATATTTTCTGTCCGTCTGCTACAGCAGAGGTGTAGGGAATTCCAAAAAGACCTACATCTCTGCTTTATTGACCTGGTCAAGGCCTATGATACCATCAGTAGGACTGGGCTCTGGGTTGTTCTTCGTGCTTTCGGAGTCCCTGACCCTCTGCTCACGATCATTAAGAACCTTCATGATGGTGAGTGGGCCCGGGAAAACTACGTGGCCGGGAGTCGGAGCCATTCCCTGTACACCTTGGGGTGCGACAGGGATGTCCTCTGGCTCCCACATTATTTAACATCTATTTTGACCACGTAGTTCGTGAAGCCTTCAATAGCTGTACCAGGGGAATTTCCATTTGGTACAGATATAATGAGAGGCTGATCGATGCCCGGGTGCGGTCAAGGGATGGCTCCCTATTGGTCAACCACGTTATGTATCCCGATGATTTGGTAATTGCTGCTCATTCAGAGGAGGAGTTGGAGACGCTGCTGCTGAAACTGGAGTGTGCCACTAAGAGGTGGGGCCTTACCATCAGCCCCACCAAAACTAAGCACTTGCCTTGGTATTTTGTACCATCGGACACTCCACCCCCACAACTCCTAATCGGTGATGGGGAAGTTGTGAAGAGAGTGGAGAGTTTCCCATACCTGGGCAGTGTGCTTATGACCGTCTCTGGTTTAACAGCAGAGGTCTCACTCCGAATCAGTCGAATGGCATGTATCTTTTAATCGGTTGCGTAACGCTATGTGGAAGCTTCAGGTCTTCTCGGCCACGGTCATTCCCTCCCTTCTCTACGCTTGCGAAACGTGCACTCCCCTAATGGAACATCTTCGCCGGTTACCCAGATCTTTCAAGGATCACAAATCCTTGAAAGATCTGGGCAAAGTCCCATCGGTGAGCACCTCCAGCAGGCAAGGCTGCGTTGGCTGGGTCATGTAGCCCGCATGGCCAGCCACCGCATGCCTAAACAGCTTTTGTTCGGCCGGAACAAGGGGGCGAAACTGGCGCGGCACGGGTTATAGAAGAGATGGAGTGATGTGGTACAGGAGGACGTGGAGCTGAGTGGACTTGCCGATGACTGGTACCAGCAGTGTCAAGATCAGCCTCTGTGAGCGACGCTCACAACAACGAGTGGAGTGCTGGGTGGCTAAAGCACAGCAATTTGGCACAGTAGGGGGCACAGGTGGTGCATCAGCCAGTCGTCTCGGTCATCACAGTCAGTCGACCCGTGGCACCTGCTGGGTCTGCCCCGTGACCTCCTGCCAGCGGGTGTTCGACACTTCACGTGGTAGCCTCAAGGTGCACATGGCCTGGCACAAGCGTCGTGGTGACGTCACCGCCACTTAGTGGCGAATGGCGGTTGTGTGTTGTTGTTGTATATATATGTATGTGTATGTATGTGTGTGTATGTGTGTATGTGTGTATGTATGTGTGTGTATGTGTGTGTATGTATATATATGTATGTGTATGTATGTGTGTGTATGTATGTGTGTATGTATGTATATGTATGTATATATATGTGTGTGTATGTATGTGTTGTGTATGTATATATATGTGTATGTATATATATGTATAAGTGTGTGTGTACCTCTTTCTCTCCTGCTCCGTGGGGCTGCCTCGCCCCGTGAGGCTCCGCTGGCGCTTGAGGACGACGTGGGAGGAGGAGGAGGCCATCAACACCTCCTCACTGTCACCCTCCTCGTCCTCCACCTCCTCACCCTTCTCATCCTCATCCACCTCACCCTCCACCTCCTCCGCACCCTCCACCTCCTCCTCACTGTCACCCACCTCCTCGTCCTCATCATCCACCTCCTCCTCACCCTCCTCACCCTCCCCACCCTTCCCATCCACCTCCTCACCCTCCTCACCCTTCTTATCCAACTCGTCACCCTTCCCATCCTCCACCTCCTCCTCACCCTTCCCATCCTCCACCTCACTCTTATCTTCCACTTCATCTCCCTTCTCCTCCATTACCACCTCCACCTCATCTCCCTTCTCCGCCATCACCACCTCCACCTCCTTGACCTTCTCCTCCACCACCACCTCCACCTCCTTGACCTTCCCGATGAGGTCACCGCCAGCGGCCACAACATCTCCCTTCTCCTCCACCATCACCACCTCCACCTCATCGCCCTTCTCCTCCACCACCACCTCCAACCCCTTGACCTTCCCGGCGCTGTCACCACCAGCGGCCACGGCATTTCCCTTCTCCGCCATCATCACCACCTCCACCTCATCGACCTTCTCCTCCACCACCACCTCCAACCCCTTGACCTTCCCGGTGAGGTCACCGCCGCCACCGCGACCGGCGCCGCTCAACGTAGTGGGGTCACCGCGGCGCAGCCCGGCACGGCCTCCTTGGTGTGAAGACATCCTGCAGCTGCCAACACCGACTCACACAGAGACACACAGACTCACTACACAGAGACACACAGACTCACTACACAGAGACACACAGACTCACTACACAGAGACTCACACAGACTCACCACACAGAGACACACAGACTCACTACACAGAGACCCACACAGACTCACACAGAGACCCACAGACTCACTACACAGAGACCCACACAGACTCACACAGAGACCTACAGACTCACACAGAGATCCACACAGAGACCCATAGACTCACACAGAGACCCACGGACTCACCACACAGAGACCCACAGACTCACTACACAGAGACCCACACAGACTCACACAGAGACCCATAGACTCACTACACAGAGAGACCCACAGACTCACACAGAGACCCACAGACTCACACAGAGACCCACAGACTCACCACACAGAGACCCATAGACTCACCACACAGAGACTCACAGACTCACCACACAGAGACCCACAGACTCATCACACAGAGACCCACAGACTCATCACACAGAGACCCACAGACTCACCACGCAGAGACTCACAGACTCACCACGCAGAGACCCACAGACTCACCACACAGAGACCCATAGACTCATCACACAGAGACCCACAGACTCACCACACAGAGACCCACAGACTCATCACACAGAGACCCACAGACTCACCACACAGAGACCCACAGACTCATCACACAGAGACCCACAGACTCACCACACAGAGACCCACAGACTCACCACACAGAGACCCATAGACTCACCACACAGAGACCCACAGACTCACCACACAGAGACCCATAGACTCACCACACAGAGACCCACAGACTCACCACACAGAGACCCACAGACTCACCACACAGAGACCCACAGACTCACACAGAAACCCACAGACTCACAATGTCCTCGTTGTGGGGTTGAGGTCAGACGTTCCGTGCCGCTACCTCGCGCAGGCCTCTGTGATCACGTGGGGCCTTAGCAACGCGCTTTTAGAAAAACGTAGAGCAGATAGGCGACCACGTGATGCGATCCGTATTTAGATTTCGTAGACCTGATAGGCACTGCCCATAGACTCAACACTGCACCATAGACTCAACACTGCACCATAGACTCAACACTGCACCATAGACTCAACACTGCACCATAGACTCAGCACTGCACCATAGACTCAACACTGCACCATAGACTCAACACTACCCATAGACTCAACACTGCACCATAGACTCAACACTGCACCATAGACTCAACACTACCCATAGACTCAGCACTGCCCATAGACTCAGCACTGCCCATAGACTCAACACTGCACCATAGACTCAGCACTGCACCATAGACTCAACACTGCCCATAGACTCAACACTGCCCATAGACTCAACACTGCACCATAGACTCAACACTGCCCATAGACTCAACACTGCCCATAGACTCAACACTGCACCATAGACTCAACACTGCCCATAGACTCAACACTGCACCATAGACTCAGCACTGCACCATAGACTCAACACTGCACCATAGACTCAACACTGCACCATAGACTCAACACCCACTCACTCACCCACTCACTCACTCACCCACCCACCTACTCACCCACCCACTCACCCACCCACTCACCACCCACCCACTCACCCACCCACTCACCACCCACTCACTCACTCACCACCCACTCACTCACCCTCTCACCCACTCACTCACTCACCCACTCACCCACCCACCCACTCACCCACCCACTCACCACCACTCACTCACCCACCCACCCACCCACTCACCCACCCACCCACTCACTCACTCACCTACCCACCCACCCACTCACCCACCCACTCACTCACCCACCAACCCACCCACCCACTCACTCACCCACCCACTCACCACCCACTCACTCACCCTCTCACCCACTCACTCACTCACCCACTCACCCACCCACCCACTCACCCACCCACTCACCACCCACTCACTCACCCACCCACCCACCCACTCACCCACCCACCCACTCACTCACTCACCTACCCACCCACCCACTCACCCACCACTCACTCACCCACCAACCACCCACCTACTCACCCATCCACCCACTCACCCACCCACTCACCCACCCACCCACTCACTCAACCACTCACCCATTCACTCACTCACTCACCCACCCACCCACTCACCCACCCACTCACCACCCACTCACTCACCCACCCACTCATTCACTCACCCACTCACCCACCCACTCACCCACCCACCCACTCACCCACCTACTCACCACCCACTCCCTCACCCACTCACTCACTCACCCACTCACCCACTCACTCACTCACCCACTCACCACCCACCCACTCACCCACCCACTCACTCACTCACCCACCCACCCACTCACCCACCTACTCACCCACCCACCCACTCACCCACCCACCCACTCACCCACTCACTCACTTACCCACCCACTCACCCACCCACTCACCCACCCACCCACCCCACTCACTCACCCCTCACCCACCCACCCACCCACTCACTCACTTACCCACCCACTCACCCACCCACCCACTCACCCACCCACCCACCCACTCACTCACCCACTCACCCACCCACTCACTCACCCACCCACTCACTCACCCACCCACTCACCATCCACTCACTCACCCACATCGCGTGGGATCGAGTTAATCGGCAGGCGGATCGCCAGCGCAGGTAATCGATGAATCGATTCCAGGCCGCGTCCCATATAAAAGTGCGTGGTCCGATACAGGAAGTGGGTTGAAGAGACGTCGCTTCTCGCTACAAACAACAAACACTACAAACTACTAACTACTACTCACTAATTACTAATAGCTACTACTTACCACTTACTAACTACTTACTAACTAATTACTAACTACTACTAACAAAAACAACTACCACTACTTACTAGCTACTATCACTACTTAACTACCACTACTAACTACTACTAACTACTACTACTTACTAGCTACTAACAAACAACTACCACTACTTACTACCAACTAACTAACTACTACTAACAACTCACAACTACTACCTACAACTAACCAGCTACCTAACTAGCTAACTACTATTAACTACAACTTTCTACTAGGTATCTACTAACTACTACTAACTACCACTAACTAACTACCACTAACTACCACTAACTACCACTAACTAACTACCACTAACTACCACTAACTAACTACTACTAACTACCACTAACTAACTACCACTAACTACCACTAACTACCACTAACTAACTACCACTAACTACCACTAACTACCACTAACTAACTACTACTAACTACCACTAACTAACTACCACTAACTACCACTAACTACCACTAACTAACTACCACTAACTACCACTAACTACCACTAACTAACTACTACTAACTACCACTAACTAACTACCACTAACTACCACTAACTACCACTAACTAACTACCACTAACTACCACTAACTAACTACTACTAACTACCACTAACTAACTACCACTAACTACCACTAACTACCACTAACTAACTACCACTAACTACCACTAACTACCACTAACTAACTACTACTAACTACCACTAACTAACTACCACTAACTACCACTAACTAACTACCACTAACTAACTACCACTAACTACCACTAACTACTACTAACTACCACTAACTACCACTAACTAACTACCACTAACTACCACTAACTACCACTAACTAACTACCACTAACTACCACTAACTACCACTAACTAACTACTACTAACTACCACTAACTAACTACCACTAACTACCACTAACTACCACTACTACATCAACTAACTACCACTAACTACCACTAACTACCACTACTACTACCTACAATAATGAGCAGTTACAACTGCAGTGGTGCCAGTGGTGGCAATACTACCGCTGATACTACTACTAATACTACTAATACTACCGCTGATACTACTAATACTACCGCTGATACTACTACTAATACTACTAATACTACCGCTGATACTACTACTAATACTACTAATACTACCGCTGATACAATCGCTGCTGCTACGTCTACTGATACCACTACTGCTGCTGCTGCGACTGATGCTACTACTACTGCTGCTGCTAGTACTGCTGCTACTACTACGACTACTTCTACGACTACTGCTGCTGCTGCTGCGACTGCTATAACTCTGGAAGTGACTCCAATGTACTTGGCGTTGCCCGTGTGGCTACTGCGAGACGGGGTGAGTCGCGGGTCGGCCGTTATATATATTACAACAAAAACTCACAACACCTTGGTTCTACTGATGTATTAGTACCCTTATAGGGGTTATTAGAACCTTTATAGGGGTTATTGTAACGTTTATCTGTGCTTTTAGGACCCTTATAGGGTTATTTGAACCCTTATAGGGTTACTAGCGGGAAGTACCCGGCGTTGCCCGGGTCTTAAAACTACTCTTAACAATCTAACAGCGGTGCATACTGACTGTGGTGGTACCTGCTATGATTACAGCAGTACATACTGACGGTGACCCCGGCGACCTCCGCGACCCCGGTGACCCCCGCGACCCCGGTGACCCCCACGACCCCGGTGACCCCGGTGCGGCCCCACTCGGCCTACGCGCTCTTCTTCCACGACACTCTGGCGGCCGTCAGGGCCCAGCACCCTGACGTCTCCTTCGGGGAGGCCTCGCGCATCGCCGCCAACACGTGGGGCAGCCTCGCCCACCAGCACAAGCAGGTGCTCCTCGTGGTGGTGGTGGTGGTGGGGGTGGTGGTAGTGGTGGTGGTGGGGGTGGTGGTGGGGGTGGTGGTGGTGGTGGATGTGGTGGTGGTGGGGGTGGTGGTGGTGGTGGTGGGGGTGGTGGGGGTGGTGGTGGTGGACGTGGGGGTGGTGGTGGTGGTGGGGGTGGTGGTGGGGTGGTGGTGGTGGTGGATGTGGTGGTGGTGGTGGTGGTGGTGGGGGTGGTGGTGGTGGTGGATGTGGTGGGGGTGGGGGTGGTGGTGGTGGTGGATGTGGTGGTGGTGGTGGTGGTGGGGGTGGTGGGGGTGGTGGTGGGGGTGGTGGT